GAACGCTGGCGACGAATCCCCGGTCTGATTGCACCGCCTCCGACGGAGCCTCCAACGCCCCAACCAGCGGGAGCGCTTCGGCCAGGAGGCGTTTCGACTCCTCCAGGGGCACCCAGGGTCGTAGCGCCTTGCTGGAGAGACGCAGCGCCATGTCCGCCACGGTTCTTGCCTGCGTTCCACGTGTATACAAGAAAGACGAGCACATCGCGGGGCAAGCGTGTGGAACATGCCTTCCGCGTACGTGCGTGTGTGCGTGCGGGGGGTTCAAGTGTACAGGAGGGCACCGGAGGCGTTTATTTCTGCGTACTGACGCTTGTGCTGAGCAAAACGAGCTTGTCATTGACTACTACGAACGTACACCGAACCAGGGGTTCACTTGCTTTCGTAGGTGTTACTGCTCTCGTAGCCAGTGAGTTGCCAAGCGAGCACGTCCCCCTTCCCCCCCACCCCCCTCTCACTCTTCGCTTTTGCTAGACTCTTGCTCCAGCTGGTCTACGCGGCGCGGGCGATGTGTCGGCCGTGGCCCCGTGGTGAGCTCGCTCAGCCATGCATGTGGATCCACAAATGTGTGGTAAAAATACCGACGTGTAGCAGAAAAACCTACTCATTTGACGCATGAACAGCAAACAGTAACATGGTGTGTTCGTGCTTTGACCTAGCCGTCTCTTGACCATCGACGACGGCACGGCCAGCACCACCTGTAAAAAAGCCTTTCGCCTTGCTTGCTTGATTGCAGAGGCAGTGGTACGCAGCCCTCGAGAGTGTGAGGATCGTCGGGAATAGAATTTACGCAACAACACACAGGACAAACAGGCTTCAGGAGCTGGTCATCACGCACAAGAGTTGACAAGAAACGCCGGTATGGTCTCTTGTGTGGTGGCAAGGTTCTTGCTGGAAAATTGCCTTGCCCGAAGGAGCGCGGTCTGTTCGTTGAAAGCACGCGGTGGGTTCGCGCTTTAGCGAAATACTAATAGCGGCATGAACAAAAAAGTAATAAATAAAATACAAATAAAAGAACAGAAACAAAAACTAACCTTTCCAGACCGCCAGGCGCAAACGTACACTCTACGGAGTGCGGCCGTCGCCAGCTTAAGCCAGCCATCGGCCAGGTAGGTTTTCCACACAAGTGGCAGGCGTTCCAATGCGTCGTCATATCTGGTGGGAGCGGACGGGGAATAGAGAAGGAGGAGGAAACGAAGCTCGCGTTTATTATTTGGCAACAAGTTGGCGGTGATCGGAAAACCATCGCGCCACCGATGCTAGAGCAAGCGTCGCCGGCGTGTATCATCAAACTCCTAAATAGTCCCACGCCTTTACACAGTACTGTATGCTCTCATCGCCAAGGTCGCGAAACGACAACTCCGAAGGGAGGAGGGAATCAATCCCTTCAACTCGTCGATTACCTCGACATCGTACCCTCCCACCCCACCCCACTCTACCCCATCCACATGGCCGCCGAAAAACCTTCTCCTCGAGGTCGCGCGAGCACGCTCACCAAGACCTAATTATCCCCCTCAACACAACCCATAGCATCTCACCCCACCCCACCCCGCCCCCTTTCATTCCATCCCATCCCATCCCACCCCATCCCATTTCGTTCCGTCCCATTCCATCCTGCCTTCCCGCGACGAAGCTCTCCTCCCCGAGATGCCCTAGGATAAGCACCCGCCGCCGCCGGAAGCCATCCTCCCCCGATGGGCAGTGCTCCAGAGCCTTCACCAGCAGGGAACGAGCCATCCCCACCCTGTCGGTCTTGGACTCCTCCAGGTCCAGGAACCCTCGGCACTCCTGTCGAAGGTTTCGCTGTCATCGTCGTCGTCGTCGTCGCCGTCGTCGTCGTCGTCGTTGGTTGTGCCGCACACGGCGGATGTTGAACCAAGGGGGGGCCGGGGGGGGGTCGTGGGGTAAAAGGGAAAGGGTGCCTTGAGGCAGCGTCGACGACAACTATGCAGTCCGGGTTAGGGTTGGCGATGTACGTGATGAAGGCGACAACATAAGAATCCGGCAACGAAAAAAGGCAGCTGATAACGAAATGCCCTTGGAGAATTCGTTGAGGAAACCGATCAAACGCATGAGTCCCGCCGAATGAGCCAGGCACGGCCCTTGACGATGACAACGCGATGAGGAAATTTGCCTCAAGTCTAAGAATATCTAGGCTTTCGAACGTGCCCGACGCAACGTCTGAGCTACACATAACCGGAATATGCGAAAGAGCAACTAGTTTCTCTTGAATAGTTCCATGATGATTAGTGAAGCGTTCGCCAACGACCACCAAGCGGTAGGTACACCGCAGAAGGTGGGATGCTGCAAAAAAAAAAAACGCAGCAGTGACTCCAATGCCTGGCCGTGGGTTGACGATTCAGTAGTCTACGCGGATTTTATTAAGTGACAAAATCATACTGGATAAAGTATAGAATCGGCAAAGTCAAGGTTACGGTCTGCGAGCGCCCCCTGCTTGGTATATATTTCTCTATTACCTTACTGTTTTTGCGTAGGCAGCCCTCATGACTCGTGTGTTCATTTCATCCGACTGACCTCGGCGTTCGTAGGGTCGACGAGCCGCACGCTCTCTCCGAGGTACAAGGGCTCCCGCACTTCAAGGCCCTCCAGAGAAGACAGGAGCCTATCCTTGTCGATCTTCTCGGCGTCATTGGAGCCGTTTCGCGACATTGCCACCACGTGTGGGAGGGATGGGGGGGGGGGGGGGG